ATGATCAATGAAGTACATTAGCTTGACAGCACAGCGTCTGATTCCCGTACCCTACCTAATACCTCTGTCTTTTTAAGCAGCAATTTTCTACTTCTACCCTTGAAAACTTCAGGTGGTAAGCTGTCAGGTCCTGCTGCCTTGCACCGTTTCAGGTTAGATACAGCATTCTCACCTTCACTGAGATTTGGAGGACTGACATCTATTTCTCATTCAGGTTCAGACTGGATGTTAGGAAACTGAAGCGTTGCTGAGGGTCAGTTGAACTGTGCTTCAAAGTGTCCTGCCCAACTTTCTGGTCACGTGTCCTATGAAGTTTACAGGGTCCCATCCTTTTGATTGATGGTCCCACTCACCATTATGTCCTTTCTGATGGTATCGTGAATAAGCCTAGATGGTTGCCGAGTGTTACCCAACTCTGATGCCTTCTCCGGTTCTGTCGCTTTCGTGATCCCCTACTGCTTGGGATCGATGCGGAGACTCTTGGTCACCTTACGTTTAAGGTGGTTTCGCTGTTTATGGTGTCCAGAGCCAGCTGAACTCAGTTACTCATATATGTTATTTCGGATGACGTCACGGGGATCCTTTGGGTGTAGGTTGCCAGTTGTCTTTACCACTGTTTGTACAACAGACTTAATATCACTCCAGGTTTCTTCAGGATGAGAATTGGTATGATGTTCAGATAAATGCTTAGCTGTCTCTTCCGTATATGTGTACTTTGCGTCCTCATTTTCCAATCAGGTACATACACGCTTCACTGCCGCCTGTTTCCTGCGGCCAGCAAGGCGCAGACATACATGAGGCTATACTAATGCTTAATTTGATTCCAAACTGGTATTCCTGGAAAAGCGGCAATCCTCTTCCGGTCCATCCAACGTTGGCTTATTGTAGTGTGATGTGTATCCATTGTTGAAGTCGGTTGATACTATGTGAGATAGTGTCTATCTTCAGGCTTAAAGTTATTGTTGACAAGAAAGAAGTGATTATCGGAGCAGAATTTCATCAGACGATCAAAGTTGTCTATTCGTTTCCCTGGAATTCCGTAAATACTACCAAAATACCTGCCTTTCTGATTGGCGAAGCTTCCATAGTTGAGCGTTAAGGTCACTTGCCATTATGACTTCATCTGAGTTTTTTACTTTCCGTAGCAAAGTTGGCAGCTTTTCATAGAATTCATTTTTTTCTTCGTCCTGTCTACAGTCGGTGGCTGCGTAGGCAGTGATTACGCATAGACATTGCCTAGTCTCATTATACTTTCTAGTCCTTGCAGATCCATTTAGTCGGCTGTTGACTGTTACCCACTTGAGCTCACTTTTTCCTTTTCAACTCAATGCTATGCATACATCAGCGAGTCCACTAGAGCTAGCCATTGGGTCTCCGGATACTCGAAAAGTGAGTTTTGAAGAACCACTACTTTTAGCCAGGTAAGGTCAAGTGAGTAACCACACTCGGGTTACGTATAAGTTTCTCTTAGACACAGCTTACATGCATGACTAGCGATTCCAGAGTTCTGGCCAGCCGTGCTTGCTGTCCGATTTGGCATAGAGTTCGGACGTTGAAAGCTCCTATATGAAATCGATGGTGGTGTCTTAAGAGACTAGAAATGAGGTTTTGATGGCTTTGATCGTTGAAAATAGTTGCAAATTGGGAGGTCGGGGAAAATGTATGAGGCGTAATATTAAAAACAGGAGGTGAAGTGAAAGAAGGAAACGTTATGTTTGATTGAGTCTTGTGTATTACTGGAAGCGTATGGGGGTGTGTGACACTTTCTGACTGCCCACACTGTGAAAGGCTATTTCTTCTTAAAAGAAGAAACGATCTGTATGACCACAGAGCCCTTGAGACATCTGCATGTGACCTGTCACACACCCTTTTGTGGGGTACTTTTTTGAGATTTGGTTGTTCTAACCTTGGCTAGAGAGGACCCATTCCACCGGCTTGTAGAGACCGTAGGGCAAATGGAGTGTGTTTTTATTTTGGGGCTGACCTTCCTTAACCCCCCTCCCTTTCCCCTTGGAAAGGCAGGATTGGCGTTGCACTGCTGGTCATTCACGAAAAACAGCTTACTATTGTCACACCCCAGCCAGCAGCAGTACGACTTCTCCCCCAGACCTCATCATAGTATACTAATTTCCACTACAATGGTAACTTACCGTTATCGAAAAGAGCTTTGTGGGATGTTAGGAGATTGAGGGAACATAGCTCATAGGGTCATTATGATATGCAAGGTAACAGCTGTTGATGAAGTTTCATATGGTAGTCACCACGTCAAAAAGGTAGGAGTTGAGTGTAGAGTTTAAGGTTGAAGAATCGCATTAATTGGAGAGGTTGTGAATCTTCACTGACTCAGTTGTTTGGGAAATGTGTTACGCATGCCTATTCACCGTTTTCCTAATTTTGCTTTGTTAGGTTGATTAGGTCCACGTTGGTGAAAAGTAATTAACGGACAGACTATAACACGATAAAGTGTGTGACAGCTGATGTGAATGGTGTAGTGAAATGTAGACTTTGTGTTTGGTGTCTGTGTGACAACGGAGATTGGTGATTGGAGAGTGTGAGTGATATTGTTGAGAATGGTTGTTAGTGGGTTGAATGTATCCTCACATTATGCTTGTCATAATCGTTATACTTAATTTGGTTGATGTTTTATTACTTCTTGTTCTCTTTTTAGCGACTTGCAACAACTTTGACTGCTTTCTTTTTGTTTTCAATCTTTCATCTTCTTGCCTCTTCCTTGATGTGTAGATTTGTTGTGCGGTGGCTCAGACTGCTACACAGCTTTACCAGGTTGATGCTGAATCAGTTGACTGTAGCAGCGTGAACCAAACTGTTTGCATTCTAGTTTCCTGTCTCAGTAACCTAAGCAACGAAATTTACATGTATTAACAGGTAGCATAACAGATCCCATTTAGTGTGAACATAATGTTGAATCATTATCGTTGGTGGTTATTTGAATGGTCAACTGAAATCTGTTAGTCACCCTTGATGTTTTTTCATTATACAACCTCAAGAAATTTTCTAATGTAGCGGCAGATATTCAACTACAAATACGAGTGGATGAATGATCATTTTTTCATTTAACTGGTCCTTAGGTAGGTTTCTTTACTGGTAGCAATTGATAGTGTGTAAAGATAGAGTGTATCCCTCTCAGTTGTTTCTTTCAATAAGTGACTGATTCACAAGACCATCGGCTTTTGTTGTAATCACCATCTTGATGAATTTTAGCATTTAGTGATATGTTTGAGAATCTATCCCGTTGTTGTATGTATCTTCATTTCCGAATTAATTCAACAATATCCGATAGTCTTATTGGTTTTTATTGTTTGTTGCATCAACATTTTGGAGTTTTTGTGATTGACATTGTCTGTCGAGGTGTTCAGTAAATATCACTCACTACAGATAAGGTAGTTCTTCCATGATGCATATAACTTATGGTACTAAATTTTAGGTAGTATCAAAACTAGTATTCCCAGTATTTTATACCTCTCTCACTTCAGATGTAGTGTGGTGTAGTTTTTAGTCTTGTCATGATGGAGCTAGTCACAGATATTTGGTAACTTTCATTCAGTATGTCAAAAACCCTTAAATTTATCAGGATAATTTGTGCACTTGGATTCAGCGACATTCACGTCCCTCTTGTTTTTCAAAAAAGCACATCATTCTCTGATCTTTCTCACCTTTAACTACTGAGGTAGTGTAGTGGGCGTTGCTGATAGGAATGGATATAAGTAGTATATGTTGAGAGGGTGGCAGAAATCATAGGGAATTGCCAGCAATGGGTAAGGATTCCACTAAGAGAAACACAAGAGACATGGCTTCTATGAATAGCAAATCAAGAAAGAAGCAGGAGAGGAAATGCACATTTTGCAAATCATGGTTTTAGTACAAGGTGTACCATATTTAACGACTGCTGTCCCACTTGTTGACAATAATCATTCCTTCCTTCATACCTATCTTCTTGCTTCTCTCTTAGTAGTAGTAGTAGCAACATCGAGAAAGTAACTAAAGATGTTCAATTACATCTCACTTGCAATTGATGTCTTCATTTTAATGAAAATCAAGTGTACTTCGTAATTATGAAATCTTTCTAGTTTCTTAATGACCTATTCTTGAGCCTGTGGATAAATTTCCTTAACTTTAATACGCTTAGTAAAAAATGTGAGAAGGTTATGTTTATTGAAAGAAGCGGGGTTTTTGTCTAACTGACAAAATCAACGTAGGACCTCGCACAGGAGTGCATTGGCTCAAGTAGCCTAACTCGAGCACAGTAGTACACAAAGAACTGATGGATAGAAAAGGAGTGATATCGAAGTAGACAGGGTAGTGTGGGAGAATAAAAAATGTGAAGATAAAGGTTAGTATGCATATATAAACCTTTAGATGTCAAGGAGTAAATACGTCTGCGCCACTTTTTTTTAGGAATAATTAATAAACGACATGGCTGTTGTATATTAATGATCGATAGTGGCTAGCAGTGAAATCCAGGATGAACGTTTCGTACTATTTGGGACTCACCATCTGGATGTACCTGCCTCCTAATGAACAATGTTGTTCCCACTGAGACTCGAACGCGAGATCGATCGATACAAAAAGCCCCTAGGTCCCCAAAGTCATAATAATCATTTGTGCAGTGGGTATAGTTTTTGGCACTTTTATTTTTTCCGGTGTTTGCTTGAAAGTATTGGCTATCTAGGTAACATACTGCATGGCCCACTCGTGTATCACGGAATTCATACCGTTGACTTATTGTACTTGTTAATATCTAAAGGATTAAACTTGATTTTTTCCTCTTTCGGGTTTGTATTAACATTTTACCCTTACGCCATTCATTTATAAACATATGTTACTAGGTGATCTGTAATTTTATCAAGAGTTCATTTCCTACTATCTGTTGCATGTTATGTAACAAATAACACATTCCTTGAAATGGAATACTTCAGGGTGGGGTTAGTACCCTGTCAGTATTACTATCTGTTCATCTTTATATGTTTTCTTTATTATAGGTGTGGATCAGTAACGGTGATATCATTTTAATTGGTTTGCGGGATTATCAAGATAACAAAGCAGATGTGATCATGAAGTATCTAAACGATGAGGCAAGGACTCTGAAGTCACTAGGTAGGTTTAATTTATGGGTGGTATTTTGTGAATTACATTAGTCCAATGGTAGTTTCTGACTAGAGGTATATATATATATATATATATATATATATATATATATATATATATATATATATATATAGAGAGAGAGAGAGAGAGAGAGAGAGAGAGAGAGAAAGAGAGAGAGAGAGGTTGGTGGAGATTTTCATTTTGGTTTGGCATTCATCACAGAAGGGGTCATGGATGCGTACTGCTGAGAAGTCCCGTACTATGACGAAACAGGTGTTGAGTGCTTCCAAGTTTCCAAAGGTTCTCCTTTTCTTACCAGTCCGTGATAAAAACATTCTCTCTCTCTCTCTCTCTCTCTCTATATATATATATATATATATATATATATATATATATATATATATGGTTAGTGATCTAAATTTATGAAGTGGTAGTGATAGACAGCTAGAATTAGGCAGTGTAGTTTCTACATGTCTAAAATTTATGATGGGACACTTGTTGCCATTCGAAAGAACAGGGTTAATCGAAGTGACTCCAGGCATAGTAAAGCATCTGATAGTTAGCTTTTCATTAAAATTTGATAAATAGTCTTGCCGAAATATTGTAGTCTACTCGATGACTAGCATTGGAACCAAGACGTGTGTTTCGTACTGTCTAGGACTCGTCAACCCCATGTCTGCATCCCAGTCAGTGATGTTGTTCCCATTGAGACTCGAACTCGGTACCTACCACTTTGAACTCCATAGTTTTATCCGTTAGGTTACTGGGTCAACTATTAATAAACAGCTTTACAGATAGTTCACACAAGTAGTCTTTGATAATTCTTTGTACACTGACATACTTGTCTAGATTGTGTCAGATAACAACTAGTTAGTAATTAGTATCTAAGTATGTATTTCGACCAATTCAGTTTTTTTTCGTTGTATCTTTTACCTTCTATCTCCTTGCATCTTGATTTACTTTTGTCAGTATTTCGCTATTGCATGAAACAGCAATAGAAGATTGCATTATCTACAATGTATATTAGTTGACTTGTTTCACACGTCTTGAGAACACCCTGATCTTATTACTGTAATAGTAGTGAATGGAATTAAGGTTTAGAGAATGTATTTTTTTAACTGTTTACTCTTTTAGCAAGATTGTACGCAGTGAATTTTATCGAATCTGTGATCCATTTGTTTTCAAATGTTTTTTCTGAAGCTTCACTGACTTTTCACCTTTACTCTGTTCACATGGTTGTTTCACATCTTTTCAGGTGAGATCCCTGATACTATAAAATTGGAAGAGAATGATGACATTGAGTTCGATGCAAACGCTGCCATTTTTGATGATGAAGATGAAGATGGCGAAAAGGGATCTGATTCAGAAGAAGATGGCTCAGATGATGATGAAAACAGTGATGATTCTGATGAAATAGCAGAAGTAAACCAACGGTTTCGAGCCGATTCTGGTGTTACTAAAGATCAGCGAAATAATCGTCGACGATAACTCACTTGACATTTCATCTTGTTTTAAAACAGTGGTTGTTTGACTGCATATTGTTGTAAGTTAAACACTTTTTAAAGTGTTCAATCACTTATTACTTCCCTGTTTAGTAGAATTTTGTAACTTTACTTTGGCATGATTTTTAAGCACTAATTTAATACATTATGAACTTCAAAATACACCACAAAAGGTTTTATCTACCTCTCGTCACGGTACTTACAGTGATAGAATAGATGAAACTGTTTTGGGAATTTAATCTGTTTTAACTTACGGATGGGTACATGTTCATCGGCATAAGCATTTGGTTATCTCTAGGTGGATCACACCTGCTGGAGCCCCCCTCACCGATATACCGAAGTTTAGGTAGATGGGTAGTATCCCATCTCCATAACTTGATATATGGATCTTTATATTGTGGCTGTGATACCATTACATTACAATGCTTATGCATACTAAGTTTTAGCTTGACGACAGTTTATTGTCATATTAATAACCTTACGCTTTAGAAGTTAGATTTCTGTTGTTTTACAGCTCGTTTATAGAGTAACAATAAGAAATGTAGTAATCAATCTGTCTTCGCGTAATAATATGTTTCGTATAAAACCATTTCTTTGTCTAAACCTATACGATTGTGCACATATGCATAATCTAGAGTTTTCAAAATAAGATGGAAAACAAGTACTTAAGCTAAGAGTCTCTTTTGATGTTTACATTCTCGTATCCGTGCAACCGAAAATTTATGCACTTTTCTCCTGTTAGTATTTATAAGTTAAAAGTACTGTCTCTGATGTGACATTTTTATAGTGGAAAAAAAGCTTTGCAAAGATTTATCTGTTATCACTGAAGCTGTTTTTATTCATCTGCAGAAAACAGAGCTTGATATTGTAATGATAGATAGTGGCCAGCAGTGGAATCCAAGATGCGCATTTTGTCCTATTTGGGACCCGTCAACTAGATGTACTTGTCTCTCAGTGAGTGATGTTGTTTCAACCGGTAGAAATTCGGTCGAATCGACGACGGAATAATACAAGCAATAACACTAAAAACTATACCCGCCGCGCAAGAAGTGGTTATTGTGGTTCGGTGGTCTAGTAGATAACGTTTGGAGCGATCGGTCCCGGGTTCGAATCCCGGTGGGAACAACACACTGGGAGGCAGGTACATCCAGCTGACAAGTCCCAAATAGGACGAAATGCACATCCTGGATTCTGCTATCAGCCGTTATCCATCATTATTATAATTAAAATACAGGTGATATCGAGGCATCCGTACAGGAGCTCATATGCCTGTAGAGACTGATCAATTCGGTCCAATCAACGACGATATTAACACAAGCAGTAATACTAAGAGTTTGGCGTTGATAAAAAGTCGTTCAAACTCTTCTTTCATGGTCTTAACTTTGCTTTATTTGAAATCAGCTCTTTCTTTGTACACTATTCACTTCTTACGTAATTTACACATTCTTTCGTGTTTCTGGACTCTTTCTAATCAAACCTGAGTTTGCAAATATTCTTGGTACGAATCTATTCATCCAAAGTTAGAAATCGTTGTGGAACTCCAGTCGTACTTTGATTAATCTTCAACATTCATCACAGTTTCCGATTTTAGTGACCGTTAGTGTGTTGATACTCTATTTTGGTTACCACTAAAAAAAACAGTCAACTAACAAATACTATCAGCAGGAAAGTGTATTTAATTTTCATTTATACAACTTCGAGAGTATAATCACCGAAAAGAGACTCTCCCTTCCATACATATAAAATTTCCTTTAGAGGAAATGCAAAGAATGCCAGAGAATGTTTAGAAGCTTGGCATTCAGGTCAGTCAGCAATCAACAGATATATATTAACGCTGACCCAGTCTTCCAACCAGTCAGAAACAATAAGAAGGTCAAAGTTCACGTCAGTAGGACAACCAATCGAAACGATTACGGAGACATTGACAAGAATGGCAAAAACAACCTATCACACAACGCTATCAGGAAAAGCTACTAAGCCATTTGTGCTGATGATGTTGTATAGGATAACAATGAAGCCTTACGACTAAACAGTTCAGATCAGAGAACACCATTCTCCTTCAATCAGTACACTGTACGCTGTAGCTATTGCTAGAGCATCGGTTACACTTCCCGCAGTGAGGTGGGGTTCGAACGAAGTCGAAAGTTGAGTGCTTTTATCTAAGGAACTACGGTTCCATTGAATATTTTTGCTGAGGACTAGTGTTTTCGTAAAAGTGTGAATTTGAATTGAAATGCATTCAACAACTTTGTGGAATTTCGTGCAGTAAACAGTCAGCTAAATCTATTGTATGCGAGCTAATGATACCACCTGGCCGGAGCGGGACTCAAACCCATGTCTCATTGGTTGACATCCATCTCCCTAAACCAATAATGAACCATAACTACTATATGAGGATGTTCTTATATAAGATTTATTCCTCAGTCGGGTTTTGAACTTAAAAGTTAGAGATTCCGGTTCGAACAAGTAAATATAATCCCAAGTGTTTTGTAATCAATATGAGAAGAGAAAACACAATCCAAGAGAATACTGTTGTTTCTAGTAGGAGCTAGTGCAAGTTGGTATTTATCATGGACTGACATCAGTTGGAGAAGCATTCGAAACCTGGGAGCACTGGACAGCTGTTTTGTCCTACTTTGGGACTCCTCAGCAGTGCGCACTCATGACCCCTACCAACCAGGGATCAAACCTAGGGTCTTTAGGTTCGGTGGCTAGCACGTTACCACTGGGTCGGAATCTACTGGTCCATATTTCCAACTTCTGTCAGTTCACGATATCGCGCGACCATCACCCAACGTCATCGCTGAGTATTTGTTCTCACGGCCACGAGGTTTTATGTAAGTACTTTGATATAAGTGAATGGTGCAAATTGTCTCTGTTGGGATACACATGTCTCGCCATACATTTTTTATGAAAATCGGTGAATATATACCGTCTATACATTTTTGTTGCTTGCGGGATGTTTGTTACACTCTCTGTGCTTATATACGCTATACTTTATTTTCATTGGTGACACCAGTATTTTGATGCTGAAATCATCTGGTATCAGTGTAATTGCACAAATCTATTTTTATTTTGTTTACTTTACAGGTTTCCTTCCTATATGATTTCCTGGCGAATACTACTATGAAAACAGTGGATGCTGTTTGTCTCTTCTTGCTTTTTTTAAAACCAAAAGTTAAATTTTCTTAGTTTATAAAACCACCTTATATCCACTTCAACAGTATCATCTGTATTCTCAGCACAATGTGTTCGTGTAATTTACATTTTTGACACTAGGTGAATTATTGAACACTTTTCCTTCGTTTGAAAGTTGATCATCAAGCAGAGGATAAATACCCTGACTACTCACTTAATTGATCTTGACTGTTTGTTGTGATGTTATTCATATCCTTCTATTACTGTATTTCTCCAGAGAAACAAATATGTTAGTCAATCACACTTGTCATTCAGTTATTTAAAATCTATATGGCGTAAAGATATGTATAGAATTTCATTTTTTTTGCAGATACTAAGTCCTATCAGGGTGTTGTATTCATTTGGCGTTATCAACAAATATTTTGAATTGAATTTGGAGGTTTGTAGGGGATATATTTACTGGTTTCTGGTTGGTATTCATCATGGACTGACATCAGTTGGAGAGGCATTCGTCCCAACATGGGACTCCTCAGCAGTGCGCACCTATGAGCTTCAGTTTCTGCGGCCGACATATTACCGTTAAGCCACTGGGTCAGGATGCAATGATCCATATTTCCCACTTAGTGCGCAATATCTTCAAATACTGTAATGTAAGGTCAGCTGAGTTTTATTTATTTGATTGTCAACACCACCAAATTCAGCTCTTGTTAAGTAATAATCCATACCTTACGTTCTATGGTGAAGAATGATTGAGTGAGGTGTTAATGGTTAACCAGGTTGTATAATATAATTTTTCAGCTGCAGCTATTTTTGCAAGAATGCGGTTAGTTTTTACACCGAATATATTAAATAGTAGTGGTTTAGAAGGATTGGCGAGACCATGACGACTTACTTTACGGTTGTGAAGGCGTGGAAATCTCCGTATCTGCCATCATAATAGTGTGAAAAACTGGCATTTTTGTGAAGACTAACCAATTCCCAGTTTTCATTACCATAAGCATTCTTAGGGGGTTTATGGTTTCTAGAATGCAGCGACTTATGTGATGGAGTGAATGTTTAGAATTGTGCACGTCTTTTGTAGCTGGACTGGTTGTAGGCTGTTTAAATCTAAAGTGAGCATCCTATGGTCTTTCAGACTGGTGTATAACAGGTTTCATACAAGCAAATTGACTTTTTTCCTCGTCTCATCGAAGCTAAACATTGGCCAATATGACCTACTAACAAATAGCAAAAAACATTGAGTTGGTGTGGCCTCTGTAGATGTTTTAGTTATCGTGTATTCAGCAGGGTTGAAGCTCTTGCTAGAATATTCTGTAGTAATTATTGTAGTAATATTGGATCTATGCAAACAAATACGATGGCACCATACTTGGTATTCTACTTTTTGATTTTACCCACGGTTGACCTTTTTCTCTAGTGTTGTCTAAACAGGTTCAATCACATTCAACATAGATTCAGTCAATGGACTATTCATACATCGTTATTAACATACAGACCTTAGTTGCTACGATTGTCGGTTATACGAGTCAGCGGGAAGTCACATACCAAATATCTTGTCCTTACTGTCCCTTGAGTATGTAAAATATCTCAGAAATAGCATTCTGACTGAGTCGAAGTAACTGAAGTACTGTGCTTAGTGATACTACGACTTTTGAGTAGTTTGAATCCCTGTGATTTGGTCTAAAAATGTTTATTGATCAGCAGCTGTACCTTGACATAATCTTCTCAGCATGTTCATGATAAGTTTTATGGAAGAGTGCAGCCACATTTCTTCGTGTTATTCTTCTTTTTTGCTAAAGTCTCTTAGTGATTGAGCATACAGTTAGTGGTCACTGAAAATCTATCATC